CCCCCCCTTTTCCCTCCCCCTCTCCCCCTCTCTCTCTCTCCCCCCCCCCTCCCCCCCCCCTCCCCCCTCTCCCCCCCCCCTCCCCCCCTCCCTCTCCCCCCCCCCCCCCCCCCTCTCCCTCTCCCTCTCTCTCTCTCTAGCGCTAGATAGAGAGAGATACTGAGAGAGAGAGAGAGAGAGAGAGAGAGAGAGAGAGAGAGAGAGAGCGAGAGAGAGAGAGAGAGAGAGAGAGAGAGAGAGTGAGAGAGAGAGAGAGAGAGAGAGACAGAGAGAGCCTTCCTTTATGCGGCACACCTCGACAAGCGGCGCCACCCGCGCCTCCGCCTCCGCCTCAAGGTACCGGTTCTGCACGAGCCTGCAGAAGGGATAGAGACGGGGAGAGAGATGGGGAGATGGGGGGGAGATCTAGGCGCGCGGCGGCGAGAGGCGGCGAGAGACGGGGAGAGAGATGGGGGAGAGATGGGGAGATCTAGGTGCGCGGCGGCGAGAGGCGGCGAGAGACGGGGAGAGAGATGGGGAGATGGGGGGGAGATCTAGGCGCGCGGCGGCGAGAGGCGGCGAGAGACGGGGAGAGAGATGGGGGAGAGATGGGGAGATCTCGGCGCGCGAGCCGCGGCGGCGGTCGCGCGACGTGCAGCAGCTTATCGTAGTAGTGGTCGACCTAAGCAAAAAAAGAAAGACCTGCTCAGGTGTTTCTTTTTTGCTTAGCTTATCGTAGTAGTGGTCGACCATGGAGGCCGAGCCGCCGCCGCTGGCCTGGTAGGCGGGGGAGTGTGAGGGAAGGTGATGGCAGGTGAGGGAAAGTGAGAGAATGTGAGGGAGGTTGTGAGGAAGGTGAGGGAAGGACACACACACACACACACACGCACACGCACGCACGCACGCACGCACACACACACACACACACACACACACGCACGCACGCACGCACGCACGCACACACACACACACACACACACACACACACACACACACACACACACACACACGCGAGGTGTTGGTGGGGCAAGGGCCGGGCTAGTCCCTCGCGACTCCACGTCTACACGGCAAAGCCCCCGCGCGTTTGGGGGAGGGCTGGATCAAAGAGCCTGATACTCCTCGAAACGCTCCTCTGTCGCGTGCCTCCACACCTAAATCAAGAAAGGACAGGCGGCCGAAGCTGACTACTAGGGAGATGCGAGGAGAGACTCCACGAGATCACGGGAGAGGAAGGGAGATGCGAGGGCGATACAGATCACGGGAGATCACGGGAGATGCAGGGATCACGGGAGATGAAGGGAGACGCGAGGGAGATTCAGATCACGGGAGATATAAGGAGATGCGAGGGAGATTCAGATCACGGGAGATGAAGGGAGCTGAGGGAGATGCGAGGGAGATACTCCGCACCTCTTCCTGCGTCGCCGGCCGGGGCGTCTGGTCGACACTGAGCGGCGCGCCGACGTGCCGATTGTACTGGTAGCCTGCAGCGTGCATGCCACGCGTCAGGGTGAGTCCATAGTGCGGATGAAGATCGGTCGGTGCCATCGGGTGTTCTCGTTGTCTGGTGGCGCGTGGGTGGCTTGTCCAGAGTGTCCGACGCTTCGACTGTGACACTGTGGGCGCGCTTCTTCTCCTCTCGGCTAGTCACTCGCGCGGGGTCACTCCCGGGAGAGGGTCCCATGCCACCAACAGAGTCTATAGTGTGCCTGTCCTCTCGACTGTTCGCGGCGGGCGAAAGGCCACGGGTGTGCGGCTGTGTGAGAGGGTCGTGCGATTTCGGAGAGTTGAGGGGGGGGGGAGGGGGGGGGCTGCACAGGAGGAGGGGGTGGTGGGGGGGGTGGGGTGGGGCGGGGGGGGGGGGTTGTGTGAGTGCGTGAGTGCGGTGTCGTGATGTCTGTTCGCAATACACGGGCTACGAATACCATGAGTACTGGGAGTCCTCTCTAGCTGGAGTTGGAGTGCAAAGATGGTTGAGTGCGTGTCCTCTGAGCGCCAATTGGAGTGCAAGGATGCGTACGAAGTGCCGTTCAGCCTCTAGGACTGGTAGCATCGGACGACCCCGACCTCGCCGCTCGCCTGACAGTGTCCAATTTTGGGCGAATACATACATGCGAGAGCGGATGAGTGACCCATTTCGGATGACTAGTCAGGGCCGACGTCGCCTCCTAGTGCCTCGGACGTGGCTCAGCGAACTCTCTTGCATCTCTCGGCCATCTCCCGGCCATCTCCCGGCCATCTCTCGGTCATCTGTCGGCTATCTCTCGGCCATCTCTCGGCCATATCTCCCGGCGTTTCAGGCCATGTGTCACGGCCATATCTCCCGGCCATCTCTCCCGGCGGATCGCTCGCCTCCAGTCGATCGGCCCACCTCGGCCAGAGCAGCTCGGGCGACGTGCGCGCCTGTTGACTCACACTCACCATTAATAGTGAATGCATGAGGAAGGACCTCGTCTGCCTCGGCCAGAACAGCTCGGCCGGCGTGCGCGCCTCCGGCGGCGCGGCGTTGCCGTTGGCCGAGCAGCTGACGAGCGAGATCATGCGCAGGGCGTCTTCGACCACCGCTGGCGCCGCGCCTGCGTGGCTCATCAGCAACGGCTCGAGTTGCAAGGCCTTACCCCCCCCCCCCCCCCCTGCACAAGGCACTCCGCTGTACACTGCAGCCGGCCCCGTGGACCCTCCACGGGACAGTCTGCCGTGAGAGCGTCGGTGGGAAGAGAGCGCAAGGGGTTGTGCAAGGCAACCTCAAGGTGACCTCAAGGTGAGGAGAGGAGGTCGCTGGGAGGTGGTCGGGGAGACCGACGGTGCTGGAGGGCTCCGTGTTTGATTCGCTGAGGCCGTGAGGCGGCGCCGAGGGAGAGCTGTGGATGCCGTGGGTGGGCCGCGGGACGGGTGGACGGGTGGCGGACGGGTGGCGGACGCGTGGCGGACTGGTGGTGAACGGGTGGTGGTTGTGGACGGGGGGTTGTGGACGGGAGGTTGTGGTGGGTGAGGCGGCGCCGAGGGAGAGCTGTGGAAGCCGTGGATGGCCGTGGACGAGTGGTGAACGGGTGGTGAGCCGGTTGTGGACGGGTGGTGGACGGGCGGTGGTGGGTGAGGCGTCAGCGCTCTTGGGCGTGTGGCCGGCCGTCAGTGCATGCACTGGACGCGTCTCGGATGTGCTCGCGCCGGCGTCGCTCATGATCTGCCTCGCGTTGGCGTAGGTCCGGCACGTCTTTGGGAAGTACTTCTTGTCGTCTGCGTCGTGCAGCAGAGCCGCTAAGCGGACCGCCAGCGCTCGAGCCTCCGAAAGCGGCTGAGCCGCCGCTGCCACCGCAGCTTCAGCGTGATGAAGGACCGCGGCAGCGTGGCCGGCGCCGTGCGAGTCGTCGATGCCCGTCTCGAGGCAAAGCTGGATGAGCCCGCCGATGGCGCGCGCCACGGTCGCGTCCGCCTCGGCGACAGGCATAGTGGCGCCACTTCCCGAGCGTCGGCTTGCGCCGCAGCGCCGCAGCCAAGAGCCTCCCGCCCCCCCCCCGCAGCCACTGCCGCGGCCGCCAAAGCACCGACCAATACCCCCTTCCCCGCCCTAAACCCCGACAGCGAAGCCCGCGCCGCGCGCGGCACCACCACCGACTCTACCTCCGACCCCAGGGCCTAGGCGGCCCGCCATGAAATCTAGCCGTGTGTGCTGGCGTCCGGGTCCCAGCCGGTCTCAGACCTAGACCCTATATTCCAGGATGGCATTCTTCGAAATATAGGGTGCCGTGCCACATCCGGAGTTGCTCGTGTCCGAGCATTGAGTCATGTAGCATACAGCACACAGTCTGCATAGAGAGCATCTGCACCATACAGACCCTCTCTGCACACACAGTGCAGTCTTGGGTGGGATTATATATTCCGCACTTGCAAGCTGCATTGTGCACATTCCGGGACACCACTCTCTTCTTTTGGCCTTTTCCACATATAGTTACCTAGTTGAGTTTTTGCATCCTGCACACTCTCAGAACGTCCGACCCGCCGCCTTCACCGCCGCCTTCACGACACCTGCTCACTCCTCAAGCGCCCACGCCTCGATCTTGGGCAGCAGCTGGTTCGACAGGTCCTCTCCGTGGCCGAGGCAGCCGTACTCGCCCTTGCCCCACGTAAAGACGGCGCCGTTGGCGGTGAGGGCCAGGCTGTGCTGGTAACCAGCCGACACAGCGACGACGCGCTGGCCAGCAAAGGCCTCGACCTTCTTCGGCAGCAGCTGTTTCTGCTGGTCGCCGTGGCCCAGCCGGCCAGAGTCTCCATCGCCCCAGCTCCAGAGGGCGCCCTTGGCGGCGAGGGCGAGGCTGGCAGCGGTGCCAGCCGACACAGCGACGACCCGCTGGCCGGCCAAAGCCTCGACCTTCTTGGGCAGCAGCTGGTTCTGCTCGTCGCCGTGGCCCAGCCGGCCAAAGAGTCCATTGCCCCAGCTCCAGACGGCGCCGTCGGCGGTGATGGCGAGGCTGTGCAGGGTTCCAGCCGACACGGCGATGGCGCGCCGATCAGCCAACGCCTCGACCTTCTTGGGCAGCAGCTTCCACTGCTCCTCACCGTGGCCCAGACGGCCATCGCCTCCAGCGCCCCAGCTCCAGACGGCGCCGTCGGCGGTGAGGGCGAGGCTGTGGAAGGCTCCAGCCGACACAGCCGACGACGCGCTGGCTGGCAAAGGCCTCGATCTTCTTCAGCAGCAGCTGGTCCTGCCTGTCGCCGTGGCCCGCAAGGACTCCATAGCCCTAGCTCCAGACAGCGCCGTCGGCGGCGAGGGCGAGGCTGTGGTGGGCTCCAGACGACACGCTCACGGCACGCTCGTCGTCCAGCGGGGGGGAGGGGAGGAGAGTCGTCGTGTTGAGCCGCGTCACGCCCTCGCCGTGACCGAGTAGCGCTGGATTCCACTCCGGCGCAGAGCCGCACGACGAGAGCCGCCCCTCGCCGTCGATAAAGACGCTGTGCTGAAGGCCCGCTGCCGCCCTCACCGGCGGGTTAGACTCGCACAGCAGCGCCGAATAGCACAGCCACCGCACGGCGCAGGTCTCGTCCTCGGGCTGCGCCGGCAGCTCGAAGCCGCGCTCTTGCGCCCACAAGCGGATGGCCTGCTCCGCGAGCGAGGCGTGAACGAGAAGCGAGACGGCCGCGACGCGAGCGATGTCGGCGGGGTCGCAGCGAGAGAGGGCGCGCACGAGGAGCTCCGTGGGGAGGTCGAGGAGGCGGGCGGGCGGCGGCGTGACTGGCGAGGGCGCGGCTGTGGCGGCGGAGGCGAGGCGGCCGCGGTGGACATATACACATATGCCGGCTCTCTACGGCTCTACTGTGCTGCATGAATGCTTGCCCAGGTGTGAACAACACCTCGTGTCCACGGCGCCGAAGGCGCCTGTTGATGGGTCCAGGTGATAGCCATGGATGGGCAATGCATACGCCTAGTTGGACCTCAGATCGCCCGACCGCGTCCCGGTGCTCTGTGGTCGGATTTGTGACGCCGCCGCACCGCGCCGCGGCCGGGGGCCCTCCGGAGGCCAAGGATGGCCGTGGCGGACCGGGACGAGCTCTGGGAGGTAGAGTGTCAGTGTATATATTGTAGAGGCCAACCTTGTGCACAATATATCTCAGTCTAGCTAAGCCAGGGGAGGCGATACCGCGGCCGTACAGCAGCTTGATGGTGCTTCGCCGGCGTGCGTCCCGGAGCGGTCCCGGTTGGGCGGTCCGAAGGAGAAAACTCAGGACAACGCCGACACCGCTCTGATTCGACTTTTTACTTCAAACAAAGACGGCGGCACGTGCCGCGCCGTGGCGCGTGCCGCGCGTGCATCGGAGAAGGGCAGTTCGTCGTGTTCACGCCGGGATGGTGTGTCCTGAGTAACCTGGGCAACCATTCAGGGCGACGAGTAGTCGCCGCCACGCCCACATGCCACAAAAGAACCCTGCACGAGCGGGGACCTGTTCCTTTTTACCATGCGTCTCAGAGTAGAGGTGTCCGCTTTATTTATTTATTTGCGCCAAGGCCCGGCGTCAGGGCCGGGGGGCAAATACAACCTCACCTCGGTCGGCCCCGCAAGGCCAAGCCCCTCACAGACGGGACAAATAAGCACGCGAACGGCTCTGACGCTGCGTGGAAGGGGCGTGGCGGCTCCCCCCCCCGCTCCGCGGCAACCGGAATATACAGCGGCCATCGGCTGGCTGCCGCCGAGCTGTGCCGCCGGGGTGCGAAGTCAGGGTGGCGCTGGTGAGTGAGCCCGTTTGTAGACCTCGTTCACGACGTGCAGCTGCCGGAGGGCGAGGATGCCTGCCGAGTCAAAGGAGGGACTCAACGAGCATTAGCCGGCGAATGACGAGCCGCTGCCGGAGGGCGTGGGAATGCCGAGAATGGTCGGCAGCAGCGTGAGCCACACCCACCGCCCGCGCTGCAGCCGCAGCCAGCGCACGGTCAGCACGGCGCCGTAGGTGTTTGACGCGCTCATCGCGAGCACGAAGAAAGCGCGTACCGCGTCGGAGCCTGTTCATTAATGCGGACTACAATTCGCCAGCTGCTTATTCGAGAGCGCGCGCTCCGCGTCGGAGCCAGGCAGCAGCATGGAGAGGTTTGAGCCGCCCGTCCCAAACTCAAGCACCTGCGGGGAGATCTGGGGAGATATGGGGAGATGTGGCGAGATGTGGCGAGAGATGGCGAGAGATGGCGGAGAGGTGGCGAGAGATGGCGGAGAGATGGCGGAGAAGGGCGAGAGCCGGGAGTACGGCGGAACGCGTCCTCTCGAGCGCTCGTCGGAACTCGAGAAAAAAGAATTCTACGCGCCGGCGCACCGCCTCGCCGGCAATGACAAGCTGCAGCCCCGGCCGCTGCGGCGAGAAGAAGACCCATCCGTGGAAGGCGAGGCAGACCTGTGTGCAGCGTAGTCAAGCCGTCGACTCACTCGTGTTTGGTACGACCCAACCGTGGAAGAGCTCAGGCAGACCTCGTGGTGGGCGAGGACGGGGAGATGTGGGGAGGTGTGGGGGGGTGCGGGGAGATGTGGGGAGGTGTGGGGCGATATGGGGAGATGTGGGGAGATGTGGGGAGTGATGGGGAGATGTGGGGAGTAATGGGGGGATGTGGGGAGATATGGGGAGATGTGGGGAGATGTGGGGAGATGTGGGGAGATGTGGGGGAGATGTGGGGAGATGTGGGGAGTAATGGGACGATGTGGGGAGATGTGGGGAGATGTGGGGAGGTGTGGGGAGGTGTGGGGAGGTGTGGGGAGATGTGGGGAGGTGTGGGGAGGTGTGGGGAGGTGTGGGGGAGGTGTGGGGAGGTGTGGGGAGGTGTGGGGAGGTGTGGGGGAGGTGTGGGGAGGTGTGGGGAGATGTGCACCACGTGGTGGGCGAGGACGTTGGTCTTCATCGGCACGAGGAGCAGGTCGAAGGTGAAGAAGAGGCCGAACACGTATCCGAACGCCCACTCCCATACCTGTCGGTGCGACGAGCCCGCGGCTAGAGTTCACACGCAGAGAGAGTCGGGTCTCACCGCGTGCGTCCTCCGCGGACGCGGAAGACGCAATGCTGCTGCCCTCCCCACTGTCTAGTGTCCACTCTGACTGCCTCTGTGTGAGTACGCAGAGGTGAGAGGGGTGTGTCGCCCTTCTGAATGCCTCGATGATGCGGCAGACGGCGCCGCCGGCGAGGGCCGACTGTGCCCGCGGTGCGGTGTATGGCGTGGTGGATGGCTAGCGGCGACAGACAGGGTTGGCATGATCTTGTCAGCCACTGTGCTCGCTGCCTCTTCCTCGGCTGTTTGCTGGGACCGCCTGCCTGCCTCGCTGCTCCCCTTCTGAACGTCTCTCCGGTGTCTGTCGTCGAGACTGGCGAGCGGCTGGTCTCTGGTCTCTGGTCCGGGGCGGTGCGCGTGTGTGAGTACGCGGCGGGCAGGGGTGTGAAGACCGCCTCGTGCCATGTCCTCGGGGCACCGCGTGCGCACACGCAGATGCGGACGCAGGGAGGCTGTAGGACGGCGGAGAGTCGCGTACCCTCAGTGTCTCCGAGACCTCGCGAGCGGGCAGGGATTCACAGCAGGGCAGTGTGGGCTGGGGTGGGCAGGGCGGTGTGGGTTTCACACCCGGGGCAGGTAGGGGATCGGGCAGGCCAGTTGTGCGGCAGTGTGCGGGCAGGGCAGTGCGGCAGGGCAGGGCAGGGGCAGGGCGCAGCAGTTGGGTCTACAGCGGAGCGCAGCGTGGTCTGTCGGGTCTATCCCCCGCGTCTAGGCGCGCGGCCGCACCCCCGACGGCGTGCGCAGCCACGCCTCGTTCCACCGCTCGAGCCGCCGCGGCGTGGGGAAGAGCGGTGAGCCGCCCCCTTTCGACGCACACAGCGCCGCGAGCAGCGCCGGAAGGACGCCGAGCCTACGCGCTGAATGCGCCAACCTCGGGGGCGGGAGGACGGTCTTGTGCAGAGTGTAGCCCCGCGGCAGCGCGAGGGATGCGGATACAGTGAGCACAGCGGGATGTGGTCGAGTACAGCTGAATGCGTGCCCTCTCGAGCTTTGGTTGGAGTGCAAAGATGCGTGTTCCGCGTCTACAGTCACTAGCTGCATCCCCACGCCAAAAGCGCAGCGCCAGAAGGGCACTCCGCCTCCCGACTGCATCGAGTCGCCTGTGCTCACAGCTGGAGGCGTGAAGCAGACGCCGCTCGCGCGGCCGCGGTGTGGACCGCGCCACTCTCGCCGAGGTAGCCTCGGAGCACGCCGCGCGCCGCATACGCAACCACCACCTGAGGCGAAGAGAGAGGCGGCATAGGCATGTGAGCAGACTCTCGCAGGCGCCGCGCCGCCGCGCCGGTGGACGCAAAGCGAGCGCTAGTGTGGCGCCGCGGCGCTGTCTCGCCGCATCGTAGCCTCTCACCCACGCGGCTCCTATCAGCCGGCCGAGCGCGTGCGAGTCGGCCGGCGACGTCTGCGACGTGGCGTGCGCAAGGCGCCGCGCGGTCGGAGCCTGCCACAGGTTGCCAAAGCTCGACGACTCCTTCATCCGGCGGGACCAGGCTGTGTGTGCTCTCCGATCGGGCGCCCTTCGTACTGTGGTTGGTCACGCGATTTCTTCTTTTCTAGAAACCCAAACAGCCTTCCCATCAATCAATCAATCAATCAATCAATCAATCAATCCAAACACAGGCGGCGACGAGCTCGTAAAGGAGCACAAGTTGCGAGCGAGACAGCAGCCATGACGATGATGATTCAATAAATAAAAACGGACACCTCTCTGTACCACGGAGCACTGCTTTTCCGAAACGTCTCTGTTCTTGGGCAGGGTTCTTTTGTGGCATGTGGGTGTGGTCGGCGACGAGAGCCGGGGTCGTCCTCCCGAGGGGGGGGACTAGCCCCTAAAGCCGTAGCGCGCGCGAAAGCGTGGTATCTGACAGGTCCCACGTCGCTCCTTTGACGCCGACGTGACTCACCCGTCAGATCACATCAGGACACGGTCTCGACGCGCTCGGTACGACGCCTGCGACCCGTCTCGGGTCAGGTGGCACGACGCTCATCGCGCCTGTGCCAGCGCTGCCGTGCAGGTTGCCACGACGAGGTCGAGCACGCTTCTATACGCTCGCCCAGCCTTCCTTTCCATCCCATTAGGCAGCCTGGGAACGGTGGCGGTCAGAGGCAAAGCCTACGAGGGGTGGTGGAACCACATGTCACGGCCACCGCCGGCTCGACCCCACGATAGCGGCCTCCGAAGGCTGACTTTGAGGCACAACCATCGGACGATGTCGACGAATTGGGTCGCTCTCGCGGTAGCCAGATGGCCTCCCATACTACAGTATCATCGGCCATGGCCGCAGGAAGCGCGGGGGAGGGCGCTGGGAGCAACACGGAGCTCCGTGTTGGACGCCAATCCGTGTCCCCTCATCCCTCGTCACAACCCGACACGGAAGAGCGGCAAGAGTGTTGGGGCTGCGGCTACGGCTGCGGCTAGAGCCGTACGAGAGGGGCCGGGCGGTCGCGGGAGAGCCGCTGCGCCGCGTGTTTTCAAGATTAGCGTGTCAGAGTGAAATCGAACTAGCCTCACTGCACAAGGTCTCACTCCTCTCAATCTCTATAAGAAAGACTAGAGATTTCCATGACTTAACATATCGCGGCGCCTCCTCCTGTCAGATCTCCCCCCGCTCTCCCAGCACCATCTGCCACCACGCCAGCCCCCCCCCCGGCGCGGCGGCGCGCTCGAGCCCGCGCACGTAGCACTTGTGGTGCGCCGCCGCGTCGGGGTGCACCGCCCGGTGCAGGTGGAGCACCCGATCGCGCTGCGCGCGCGGCACGCGTCGCGCGCCCCCGCCGACAGGGTCGAGGTAGACTAGCTCTCCCCCAGGCCAGTGCGTGTACCCTCCCAAAGTCTCGAGGGCGCCAGTGCTGCTCTTGCCGCCGAGCGAGAGGGCGGCGGCGCGCAGCAGCGGCACCTCGAGCGGAGCGGAGAACTAGCCGAGATGCGGCCGAGGTGCGGCCGAGATGCGGCCGAGATGCCGCCGAGATGCCGCCGAGATGCCGCCGAGATGCCGCCGAGATGCCGCCGAGATGCCGCCGAGATGCCGCCGAGGTGCCGCCGAAATTTGGCCGAGATGCCGCCGAGATCTGGCCGAGGTGCCGCCGAGATTTGGCCGAGATGCCGCCGAGATCTGGTCGAGGTGCCGCCGAGATTTGGCCGAGATGCCGCCGAGATCTGGCCGAGGTGCCGCCGAGATTTGGCCGAGATCTGCACCTCCGAGCCGAGCAGGCGCGGCACGGCGTCGGCGCCAAAGACAAAGGACTGCGCCCGCACCTTGGGTCAGGCGGGCGGGTGCGGCGGGGCAGGGGGGAGAGTGCGGGGCAGGCCATGGGCCGCAAGGCGGGGGAGAGGCGGAGTTGTACGCCCTCACCCGCCGCATCGCAGCTCCGCGGAGCTCGCCGTGGAAGGCGGCGGGGGATCCGTACGTGAAGGCGAGCACCTGAGAGGGGCGAGGGGCGGTGAGGCGCCTGAGAGGGCGAGGGGGGCGGTGAGGCGCCGGGGCACTCGTCCACACACACGAGGGTGGTGGGGCGAGGAAGCACCTCCCTAACCCTAACCCTAACCCTAACCCTAACCCTAACCCTAACCTCTGCGGGCGCGTCCTCCGCACCCGCGTCGCCACTGGCGCAAGGCAGCAAGCCGGCGCCGAGCAGCGTCATCGCTAGCGCGCCGCCGAGGCTGTGGCCGCACAGGGCGAGCCTCTCACACGGACGGACGCGCAGCTCCGCCTCGACCACCTCGCGCAGCTCCTACCACGCTGGACGGACCAGTCATCCCATGGTGCGTCTGTGTCTTCCTCCCCTCGACCGCCTCGCGCCGCTCCTCGGCCGCCGCGCGGGCGGCGCGCAGGAAGCCCGAGTGGAACGCGTCGCCCGCGCCGGTCTGCTCGGGCGCAGCCATCAGGTCGTGCACCACGTCGGCGAGCGAGGCGGTGCCGCGGAAGGCGACCCAGAGGGTGCCCGACTCGGCGTCGCGCGCGACCAGCCACTGCGCTCCTCTCGAGTCGCGCTGCGGCGAGAAGCGGACGAGCTCCATCCCGGAGCCGAGAAGCGCGAGGCCAGCCTCGACCTCGCGCCTCTTCTCGGCGTACGCGAGCCACGACAGCCGCGCGCCGAGCAGCGGCGCCTCCAGCTCCGCCGGCGACAGCCTCTCACCGCCGTCGACCCGCGGCAGGCTGAGCTCCGCCCGCGAGGCGTGGCTGAGGCTGTCGGCGGCCTGGCTGATCCAGCGCCGCCAGTCGTTTGCGGCGGCGACCGGCGCGGCCAGCAGTGCGACCCATAGGGCGGTGCACACACACTTGCACATGCACACGTATCTGATGTGCCTGTTGTGTTCGTCTGCGCCAGTCGCGGGTGGCGGTGGGGGCTTGTGCTCTCTCGAGGTTCTCGAGGTGGATATCCTTTGGCCGCGTTGGGTAGCGGATTGGTGCCTGTGTGAGAAATCTTTTATGGAGGGGGGTCCGGAGTTCCTCGCAAGTAATCTCGGGTGCTCAGATATCATAGGACCTCGTATGGCCGAGGGGGACGGACACTTACACACCAACGCACACCAATCACGCCCGGACACACAGACACACAGACACACAGACACACACACACACACACACACACACACACACACACACACACACACACACACACACACACACACACACACACACACACACACACACACACACACACACACGCCGAATTGGTAATCTCGGATAATCTCGGGTGATCTCGGGTAATATCGACCTCGGGTAATCTCGGGTTATCTCAGGTTATCTCGGGTTATCTCGGGTAACCTCGGGTCATGTCGGGTCATCTGGGGCCATATTGGATCTCGCGTAGTCGGTACACACACACTCACATACACACACACAAACACACACACACACACACACACTCACACACACACACACACACACACCACACACACACAAACACACACACACACACACACACACACACACACACACACACAGAAGCGAACGCGCACACACACACACATTATTAGTAATCTCGGGTAATCTCGGCCATTCGTTAGTATTCCAGGAGCAGCGAAAGGCGCGGGCGGCGCGAGGTGGCGGCGCGACTGCGCGGCTCGATTGAGTTATTCTTCTGGGGTAAGATGGAGGGATATGAGTTGACCTCGAGTACAGTATTCCACGTCCTAACCTAATTAGTTAATTCATTAATTAATTACGTATTGTATTCCGCGCTGGGTAATAGTAAGTATTCCAGGAAGGCAGGGCGCGAGGCGGAGCTGTCTCGACGCAGTGTACCACCACCCACGCTGTAGATAGACAGAAAACTGCAATTCCCTTCCCCCCTCGGAGGGGGCCGGGAGAGGCGTACCCCGAGGACCCGCTCTTTCCCCTTCCCCCCTCGGAGTGTCTTGTCTTGTGGTTCTGTGTGTCGCTCCTGTGTGACCGTCATCGCCCGTCCTGCGTCCACCCATACCGCGTTGGTGTCCCAGTCGTTGGTCGGACTGTGTTTCGCCTTCCCATCAATCAATCAAGGAGGGTGCCGGGAGAGGCGTAACCCGAGGGCCCTCAACCCCCTAGTCTTGCGAGGGGTGGATGCTAACCTCGCGTGGGTAGGAGGTGCTCTGCGAACTGCCTCGCGCGAGGGGAGTGTGGCATCTCTTGCGAGTCTGAGTAACAAACTTTCGCACGCTCAGCACCTCGATGAGGTCACATGGACCACCAAGAACTGGCACGGGCTGCAGATGCAGCGCTTGTCTGTCGTTCTCCACACCGCCGTGGCGTGGCAGACGGTGAACGAGCTAGCGTGCGGGGACAGCGGCATTGTGCACGGAGCGAAGTGCATTGCCGTTCTTAACGGAGTCGCTTAGGCGGCTCCGGTGGTGTGCCGGTGATAGTACTAGCACGCGCCAGTTCGCACCTGTGTCGAGCCTGTGTGCTGTGAGAGAGAGTTGTCTTGTTTAAATTCTTTGTTCCGGAAATCGCCGAAATCGCCGAAATCGCCGAATCACCGACATCGCCGAACATCGGGTGCGCCCGCTCTCGCCTGCTCTCTCTCGCGCGCCCTGCTCTCTCTCGTGCGCGCCTGCTCGCGCCTGTCGCGCGCGCGCGCGCGTACGCGCGCGGGGTGTGCCTTGTGCTGTCCGGGCCCGTTCTGCGCGCCCTGCTCAGATGTCTAGAGCGCATTGCCGCAGGCAGCCATATGGATACGAACCAGAGCGGCGCCATGAAGACGCTCCTCGTCGTCACCGCCGCTTTTGGTGCGCACAAGCGCCATCCATTCGGCCCTATTCCCACCGCATGCCCCTTACACAATTAGTAATTGCAGGCGGGGCATGCGTGGGCACCCTGGCCACGCACGCGCTGGCCCCGGCGCCAGCGCTCAAGGAGTCGTTCGTCGCGGCTGAAAAGATGGAGCCGGCGTTCAAGGTGTGATCTTGTAGCCTTGCCGCGCAGTCGCTTGCTATCTCCGCCCTACCCCCCCCCCCCCATTTCCAATGTCTGGCCTGATCCCAGCTCTGCGGGCTCAGATGACGACCGAGAAGATGGCCGTCCCGGCCGAGAAGCTGGCCGTTCCGGAGAAGCTGGCCATCCTGGCCGAGGTCGAGATGCCGGACGAGAAGCACTTGGAGCACTGCGATGGGGAACTCGTGTGCACTGGGACGAAGTGCACCTGCCAACGAAAGGCCATCACCGACATCCAGCAGATGCTGGCCCTCCGCCGCAGCACGGCGCCGCACAGCAGGTAGGCATGAAAATGAAGACAAGTGGGCACGCAAGTGGTGGCGCCTCAAGAAACGTCGGCCAGTGTCGTGACCCCCTGGAACACCCGTACCCCCGCACCATCTCCGTCGCTTGGTTCTATAACCTATAACCTTGCCACCACCGGGAGCGCCGGCCAGGACTCATGGACTCGGTCGAGAGACCCCAGATTGGCACTCATGCCTCTCTGGACAGGGTGGAATTGCGACTCGCCGCTTTCCTCCCGCTGTGATTTTGTGTGAGCTCTGTGTCTCTTGATTTGCCAACAATAGACATTGTACAACGTCATTTCGCGTTGTCGATTTCGTTTCTCGTGACTGTGTATCTCCGCCGCAATGGGAGTTAGCGCGCTCGCTCGCAGAGCGGCGCCTGCTAGCCGAGCGCGAATACCTGGGTCGCTGAGCTCGCGCCGGTGGCCAACTGCGCCTCCGTGGCGACGCGCTCCGGCCACGAGCGACGTGCCAATCTGCACTTTGAGTCGAGATGCCGGACGAGAGAAGGTCAAAATGCCGACGAGAAAGCTTGTGGTCCGCCTGACCACCCCCCTTGCCAAAAAGCAGGTAAAAGGCTCTGTCCGCAGCGGCCGCGGATAGGCAAGCGGAGCCGCAGAAATGTTCGTTGAAGTGAGATCTAAGCTGGCTGGAAGCTGGAACAGTGGCCGTTGTTGTTGAGAACAGGCGGGGGTGCGTTTTCTCAGTGGATCCAAGGATCGCTCATGTTCTCGCCCCGAGGCCCGAGCCACTTTTCATTGAAACAAATGAGGCTGCGCGCCCATCATTTAGACTTCTAGGACATTACAGTGGCCAGGCGCGGGGCTTGCATTTTTGTCGTCGTGACAGTCGCCGTCTCAGTCAGCCACACACCTCACACTGAACAGCACCTAACCTGCGCGCCGCCCGTTTTTAAACTGGCAGAGCCGTGCGGCACCCAGCAGCACGGCGCGCTCTCTCTACGCGCACCACATGCATTACGCACACGCGCCTCGTTCCGCAACGCGGCTCCGAAGTGACTGAGGGCCAGTGAGGGCGAGCCCAAGTCCCGCAGCGGGTCAGTCGTGAGGGAGCGAACACCCGAGCGCGAGATGCAGATGGGGGGGCGACAATGCATCGGTGTCGCTCCCCGCACACAACGCAAACCCCCTGTCTACAATCTCCACCCCCGGGGATGTCCTTAAGAGCCACATACACTGAAAAAGTAGGAGCAGACGACAGATGGGCTAGGATACAGTGGCGGATGAGACACGGGTGTCTGGGCGAGGGGTGAGGGGGTGGCTGGGTGAACTCGATCGAATGATTCGGCGCGCGTTCTTTCAACGTGTGTGCCGCCCACAAAGATCATGCGGCGGCGGCGGCGCCGGCGCTAATGCGGTCGAGCGACTTCTTTATGTCCTGCGCCGCGGGGGTGGTGCTGGTGTGGGGTTGATGGCAGGGGGTGGGTGCACGGAGACAGCAGAGGCAAGGACGGACGCCGGGGGGCGGGCTGCGGCGGGCATCTCGTTCTCTCCTGCGCCATGCCAGGCGGCGTCGGCTGGATTGCTTCGGCCACCTGACATCAGTGAGCGGTTGGTACACATCAACGGCTTCAGCGCTACTCGACACATCACACACGCACCAAAAAAGTGTCACGAACTGCGGTCGGCCGGCGTGCGCTGCGCGAGGATCTCCGCCGCGCGGGACGGCTTCATTGCGTCGACCGCCGCGTCGCTGTACCCGAGCCCGGACAGCTCCTCCCGCATGGCCCGCGTAATCATGAACTGCACAGAAGCCACGTACTCGCCGGCGCCGCCGCCGGCCGGGCCGGCGCCGCCGCCAGCGGAGGACGGCGCGCCGCCTGGGCCTCCGCCCCTCGCCTCGCGCGACGGACCGCCCTTTGGGTACGCGACCTTGGACGCGAGCCACCCGTAGCTGCCGCGCCCGTGCTGGCCAGGGTACCCCCCCGGCTGGCCCTGCTGCCCCGGCTTGTCCTGCTGCTTTCGTAGCCGCGCCATCTCCTCCGCCACCTTCGCCTCCGCCGCCCGCGCCCTGTCCTGCAGCCGCTGCTGCGGCGGCGGCTGCGGGAAGCCTTGCGAAGCCCGCTCGCGCTGCTGCAGCAGCTCGCGCTCTCGTTGCTGCTGCTGCTGCATGCCCTGCATGCCCTGCGTCGCTCCTCCCACGCCACTCATGCCGGGCACCGCACCTCCCATCCCTCCCCCAAGTGCCGCCCCTCCCACCCCAGGCGCCGGTCCCGCCATGCCAGGCCCCGCCCCCCCGTCCGGCCTCCCCCCTCCCCCCGCCCCCGGAGGGTACCCAGCGCCCTGCGAGCCGCCCGCGTACCTCCCCCCCCG